ATCAGAAAGAGACTGGAAATTATTAAGTAAAAGAGAGCGATAAGCAATTGTAAGTAGGTAATGTAGGTAGCATGGCAGTGGCGATGAACAGACATGAACCATACCCCCGGCCGGGATTGAACCCGCGGTCATAGAGTCTCAAAACTCCAGCCCGTCGCGCTAGCCACTAGACCAGCTAGCCACAATAAGATTCATCCAACTAGGTATATTTCTACACCATAGGAAAGTTAACACAGGCACCTCTGTGACCACAAATGCAAGTTTTTACAGACGAATCTCCAGCTAGCGTGGCCGTGACGAACTCTAGCTCAAGTCCCTTCACTGCCGTCAACATGACGGTAGAAATATACCTAGTTGGATGAATCTTATTGTGGCTAGCTGGTCTAGTGGCTAGCGCGACGGGCTGGAGTTTTGAGACTCTATGACCGCGGGTTCAATCCCGGCCGGGGGTATGGTTTATTTGCAATCGTGTCATTACGATTTCTTAAGTCAACAGACATGAACTGTCGGAACCTCCCAAGGGAGGAGGGAAAAGTTATATGCTAGATGAACATATAAACGGGTAATTGAAAAGAAAACAAGAGCGAATGTAGACGAAGAGAAAAGGGAGGTAGTAAACAGCGGCGACGAAAAAATAATAGACCTCTATTAATGTCCATTACAATTCTATATATGGAAGTATTGCAAAGATCATGAGCATCACGGCGGTCGTTCATACATACAGGTTCTAAACAGGTGTGAAGCAAAAAGCATCTAGACATAAACGTTATCCCTGATGATGGATGGGATCAAGTTAAGAATTACAAGAGAAGCCCTAAATATATCTGGTCGCAATAATCTAGTTTAGATAATATTAGGGCTGAATGCAGCCGAAGGAGAGAACAATCAACCCCCATGAAAGATGAGAGAAGGTTTTTAGGAGATTCCACCGACTATGACATGTTGCCTTCAGGGAGGTAATGTGAAGTTTCCAGGATAACCAGCAGTCAAGCAGAAGGCTGAGAAACCTGACTGTATCACGTTCATACAGGTACTATGGAATATCAGGGACGATAGAACGTCTGGTGAAAGTAATTTGGTGTGTAATAGTTCCAGAAAATTTAACCCTTAAACGGTCCAAACGTATATATACGTTATTACTCGTAGCGCCCCAAACATATATATACCTTTTATTTTTCCTGCCTTCAAATTTGGCACTATTGGCCTGAGATGTCTTGTCAGCATAGAATGGGTCCTAACACTCAGTGTGCACGGTATTAAAAATATATGGGACCACTTAGTACCTTGTGGGAGCGCCAGTTAATTTGAGCTCCAGCTAGAGCAAACAGTGCGGCAAACACCAAGGATTCACTGATGTAATGTCATATTAACACTCCTTCTTTAAGAGGAAAGTGATGTTAACCCCAAGTTTTGGGTCTGTCTATCTCTGTCCATCTCTGTATCTCTGTCTATCTCTATCTCTGTCTATGACTGTCTTCCTCTGTCTATCTGTCTATCTCTGTCTATCTGTCTGTCTATCTCTGTTTGTCTATCTCTGTCTGTCCATCTCTGTCTACGTCTGTCTCTGTCTACCTCTGTCTCTGTCTGTATCTGTCTCTGTCTATCTGTCTCTGTTTCTATCTGTCTTTGTCTATCTGTCTCTGTCTGTATCTGTCTCTGTCTATCTGTCTCTGTTTCTATCTGTCTTTGTCTATCTGTCTCTGTCTGTATCTGTCTCTGTCTATCTGTCTCTGTTTCTATCTGTCTTTGTCTATCTGTCTCTGTCTGTATCTGTCTCTGTCTATCTGTCTCTGTCTCTATCTGTCTTTGTCTATCTGTCTCTGTATCTCTTTCAATCTGTCTCTCTTTCTGTCTGTCTATCTCTGTCTCACAGGTACACATAAATACAAGTATACATAGTGTAAATTACCTAGGTTAACCCAAAAAATCCAGACAAAGTGCTATACTCTGCTGGAAGATGTGAGTCAAGGTGATGACGACGCAGTCTTGTGGCTCTCTTTGAGACAGAGAGCTAGACGGATAGACAGATAGACTGGGAGCTTGACAGACAAACAGACAGACAGACATGTTTGTGTACCAGCAAAACAAAGTGAGGGGATGCTCATCAAATATCACCTCTAATCTTTTCTTATCAGCTGCACCCTCCCCCACCCTCCTGTATGCTCATTAAATGTCCTCTCTTATCAGTTGTTATCTCATCTTATCATGTCACTGTCAGGGGTGGACTTTGTTTTTCATGCTTCAAGGGAACTTATTATTACCTATTATTATTATTATGTATTATTCTTCTCCTCTTCCTCCTCCTCCTCCTTCTCCTCCTCCTCTATCTCATCCTCCTCCTCCTTCTCCTCCTCCTCCATCTCCTCCTCCTCCTCCTCCTCCACCTCCTCCTCCTCCTCCTCGTAACCCTTCTCCTCCTCCTCCTCCTCCTTCTCCTCCTTCTTCTTCTCATCCCCTCCTCCTCCTCCTTCTCCTCCTTCTCCTTCTCCTCCTCCTCCTCCTCCTCCTCCTCCTTCTCCTTCTTCTCCTCCTCCTCCTCCTCCTCGTTATTATATACTTCCACATATCCAAAACATTGCTGGGACATATAAATACTTTGTATATATTCCAAGACAATAGTAAATCACCAAGACAGGTGTAAATGTCCACCTGTCAGTGTTAGTGACAATGTGAGTGCAATTTCAGTACCTAATACTAGTGTCAGAACAAAAATTGGTTATGAAATAACAAGAACTACTACAAATTGTAATTATCAGGACATAAAAATTACATAAAAAATATAAAAAATAGAAAAAAAGGTATATTGGCAACACTTGTGCAAGTGGCAGGACTCCATGTTGCTGTCACTTGAGCATCCAGTGCCATCTTCTCCGCCTCATATCTCGGTAAGTACTGACACTAATTTTTTTTTATTCTAAAATATGTAAAAAAAGTGTGTTCTTTTTTTCTATAAAAAAGATTTTTTTTTTTTTTTCAAAATATTCAGGGCGAAGCGTGAGTTCACGTATATATATATATATATATTTGGACCGGACCATTTAAAGGTTAAACTCATGAGCAGTGGCCCAGTTGGAAGAACAGTTGACAGGGTTCTGGAGAGAAGCTGCAATGAGGCGCCAGTGAGCGCCTCGTCAAGCTATAGCTTCATGATAGTCTTCATTATAGAGTGATGACCAAACACTAGATGGAAGAACAGATTCCAGACGATTTATAGCCAAGGGAAAAAGTGTGGTGCTGAGGACACATCCCTGGCGGACACCTTCATCTTGAACGAAGTGCAGGGAAAGCAAGTTATTAACCCGAACACATTAATGTCTCTCAGATAAGAAGTTCGTAAGGAAAAATGGCAGATTGCCTCTGAAGCCTAAGGAGTGAGCTTGAGTCAAGAAGTTATATCTCCAAGCTTTGTTATATGCCATCTCAAGATCAAAAAAGATGGCGATAACTGAGTGGGTATTGAGAAAGGCATTAGGAACATATGTATCTAAACGATAGCCAATTCTGACTAGTGGAGAGACTATTGTGTGTCTCTGAATATCACATCAAACATATGTTTATCAGACGTTCAGTCACCTTCCAAACTGCACTGGTAAGAGCAATGGGACGATAATTGGAAAAATCATGCCCCGAAGTACCTGGTTTTCGAAACGGAAGAACAATGGCAGATTTCCACAGCTGGGGTAGAACTCCTTGTGACCAAATAAGATTAAATAGTCGTAAGAGGACAGTGAGGGCTGACGGATGTAAATGCTGGAGCATACGAACATGAATGCCATCAGGCCCAGCTGCAGATGATTGGCAAGTAGAAAGAAGAATTGTAAAAGGAACATTTTAAGATTCATTTCTGCTAGAATAAATTTATAAGGGCTCCAACTCTCTGGCAGACTTGGAGGAAAAAAACGAGGGGCATAGATGAAGCCCCTGAGAGATAAAGACAAAATGATTACCAGTTTCAGTGGCAACTTCAAGAGGGATTGCTGTAATGACACTGGCACCCGAAGAATGGAAGCCGAGTCAGGAGAGTATTTGCCACTCAGTTTCTGTACCTTTTTCCAGACTGCACTCATACAGGAAGCCGAAGTGATGGTAAAAGCATAGTCTTGCCAACAAGTGCCTTTAGCTTCACTGATAACATGGCGAGAGATCGCTCTCTTTCCCTTTAAATCAAGAGTCACTTTGTGGTTCTAGAGTAATGATATCTGCTCCATGCAGTGCGTTTCAAACGCACTGCATGAGCATAAGCAGGAGACCACCAGTGAATCATTTATGAGATTGCCTGCCCAAGGTTTTGGATATAGAATGTAAAGCCACAGTTAAAACTGATGTCAAAAATAGGTTCAAAAAGCTCATCAATAGTGGACGAAGATGTGTCCTCACTAAAAGCAGATTGACGTGAATACAGGTCTCCATTTTCTCTGTCAAATTGCTAGCGTGGGCTTCGATGAGGTGGAGGATATGAATGAAATATGAGAAGTATCGGAAAATGATTTCTGTTAAGTAAATCTGGGAGTACAAACCAGATAAAATTTAGTGCAGTTGATGAAGAGTAAAATGGGAAATTGATGCAATAGAGAAATTGCATACCAGGGTCAAATAGGTGGGTGGGCCCGTATTTAAAACAATGAAGGGGAGAGAAGTTAAATGAGCCTCTAAATGAGTGCCACAGTGAGACCCCCGGAGAGAAAATGGTGAGCATTAAAATTGCTTAATAGCAGAAGTAGTGGCGGTAATGAAGAAAACAGAAACCCGACATCTGTGATAGATAATGCCCGAGAAAAAGAGAGATACAAAGAGCAGACTGTATACAACTTATTCAAGTACCTGTGCACTGCAGTGTAATGCATCGATGTATGAACAAAGATTTGATGGTATGGAATACCGGTGCATACAAGAAGTGCACTTTCATTAAGTTCCTTCCGGAAAAGTATCCGATGTCTATAATAAAACAAAGTTCGAGACGGGACTGATAACAGCTGAGCGTAACTTGGTTTCTTGTATAGAAACACATGCTGAAGAACATGGAGAGCAACAACTGAAGCTCATCCCAATTACCTCTGATGCCATGGATATTCCACTTTAGATAAGCCATGATTTGTGAAGAGAAGGATTCAGGAAATATGAAGCAGTAGGTGTCTATGGAATAGAAGGGTTAGTAAAGTTCACACCTGGAGGCACCAGAAAACGAGTAAGCAGCGAAGGATTCGAATGCTGTGAAGAAAAGAGGTGTGCAGATGGAGTAGAAGAGTGAAGAGGAGCAACGGAAGGTGGATCAGTGTGCATCAGTGGTTTAGTCTTTTCAATATATTCGGATATAGCTTCTAGTGTTTCAGACGACGAGGACATTGTACGTTGGATGACATCAGAGATAGAATAGAGAGGGTGGGTAAAGATCGGGGAATGATGGACGTTACCAGAGGATTGTAAGTTATGAGAGGTTAAAGTTAGCTTTGGAAGATCTTGGGATGGGACAGGACAGGAGGGGACTGTACGAGGGAGAGGATGAACCTCCACACTCGTAACAGAGCTAGTCAGAGTAAAGAATCAGGTACTCTGACTGGAACAAAAAATGTCTCGGAAGGATTATTGATGAAGAGGAGATTTACACTTTATGGATGTTTTGAACTTTGGAGAAGTGGAGGAGTGAATGCAAGATGCTGTTGTGCAAGGTCTTTTAGACAGAGAAACTTGCTAGCAAGATGATGAAAATTTGAGAACAGAATGAGGTGAAAAGGTAAGGACCTCGGAGTCCAGGATTGAAAAAGAGTTAGATCCTGAGGTACCTGCGTAAGGAGACTGCGGGAGTTGGGACCCCAGAGGTTGGAGGCCTCTTAGTAAGTCTTGAATAAGAAATACGGGATAGACTCCCTTGGTGGTATGGATGAAAGATAGCAATGGCATAAGTAAAGCTTTTAAACCATACCCCCGGCCGGGTTGAACCCGCGGTCATAGAGTCTCAAAACTCCAGCCCGTCGCGTTAGCCACTAGACCAGCTAGCCACAATAAGATTCATCCAACTAGGTATATTTCTACACCATAGGAAGGTTAGCACAGGCACCTCTGTGACCACAAATGCAAGTTTTTACAGACGAATCTCCAGCTAGCGTGGCCGTGACGAACTCTAGCTCAAGTCCCTTCACTGCCGTCAACATGACTTAAAAAATCGTAATGACACGATTGCAAATAAACCATACCCCCGGCCGGGATTGAACCCGCGGTCATAGAGTCTCAAAACTCCTGCCCGTCGCGTTAGCCACTAGACCAGCTAGCCACAATAAGATTCATCCAACTAGGTATATTTCTACACCATAGGAAGGTTAGCACAGGCACCTCTGTGACCACAAATGCAAGTTTTTACAGACGAATCTCCAGCTAGCGTGGCCGTGACGAACTCTAGCTTAAGTCCCTTCACTGCCGTCAACATGACTTAAGAAATCGTAATGACACGATTGCAAATAAACCAAAACCCCCGGCCGGGATTGAACCCGCGGTCATAGAGTCTCAAAACTCCAGCCCGTCGCGTTAGCCACTAGACCAGCTAGCCAAAAATAAGATTCATCCAACTAGGTATATTTCTACACCATAGGAAGGTTAGCACAGGCACCTCTGTGACCACAAATGCAAGTTTTTACAGACGAATCTCCAGCTAGCGTGGCCGTGACGAACTCTAGCTCAAGTCCCTTCACTGCCGTCAACATGACTTAAAAAAATCGTAATGACACGATTGCAAATAAACCATCCCCCCGGCCCGGGATTGAACCCGCGGTCATAGAGTCTCAAAACTCCTCCCCGTCGCGTTAGCCACTAGACCAGCTAGCCACAATAAGATTCATCCAACTAGGTATATTTCTACACCATAGGAAGGTTAGCACAGGCACCTCTGTGACCACAAAATGCAAGTTTTTACAGACGAATCTCCAGCTAGCGTGGCCGTGACGAACTCTAGCTTAAGCCCCTTCACTGCCGTCAACATGACTTAAGAAATCGTAATGACACGATTGCAAATAAACCATACCCCCGGCCGGGATTGAACCCGCGGTCATAGAGTCTCAAAACTCCAGCCGTCGCGTTAGCCACTAGACCAGAGGTGCCTGTGCTAACCTTCCTATGGTGTAGAAATATACCTAGTTGGATGAATCTTATTGTGGCTAGCTGGTCTAGTGGCTAACGCGACGGGCTGGAGTTTTGAGACTCTATGGCCGCGGGTTCAATCCCGGCCGGGGGTATGGTTTAGTTGCCATCGTGTCATTACGATTTCTTAAGTCGTTTAGTAAAGCTTTTAGTTTCCTTGAGATAGGGGATTTCTCGTTCATTTGAGTAAACTTGATAGTGACGAGAACAAGTTTAGTGAGCTTCATTACAGTTAAGGCAAGACGGAGGCAAACCAAAAGATGTATTGGTATGGTCGTCAGCATCACAGACTGGGCATTCTGCAATGGACCTGCAATTTTTTGCTGGATGGCCAAAACCCCAGCAATTTCTACACTGTTGTGGAGTAGGAATCTCGTTTTGGGCATGTAACCAGTGTCCTGCAATATAAACTAGGAAAGGAAGCTCACGGCAGTCAAAAGTTAAGCGAGCTACATTGCAGGGGAAGCATCTCATCCCATGGGCAGGTAGTATATATGTATCCACTTTGAGAATTGGGAGGTCTTTTAGCTCAGGTTGCTCCAGAATATCGTCACCACATGTCTGGAAATCACACTGAACAATGGTATGAAGTAAAACAACGGTACCACTGCAAGAACTGAGGGAATTGTGTTTTTAATTATTACAGAAATAGCATCTATGGCAGTAGGTATAGAAAGATCGTGAGCTTGGCTAGCATTTTGTAGCGTGACCATGCATTCCCTGCTCTTGAGAGCGTGAAACAAAATATTTCTACAAAAATGGTGGAGGAGCACCTTGCTGATACTATGATAATAGAAATAGTTTGAGTAAGATGTCGGCTGCTGAGTGAAAAGCTTAGTCCACTGTGTACTATAATGCGTAGTATGAAAAGGGAGCCATTATCGCCTTGGTCTTTTCTGAGTAGAGTGAAAGGCATTGAAAGCAGTGTCATCAGAGAAAGATCTTGGTCGTTTAGATGCGGAACCAGAGGTGGTCCGTTTTGAGGCGGGTGGGTGATCTGAAAACCATCGCATCATATGGGAAGAAGCCGGAAGCATGGTCAATGATGTGAGGAGGTCAGATGAGTCACAGGAGTCAGGCTGAGCCTCGGTATTAGGAGCGAGTGACATAATGTCACCGGCAGAAGATACAGTGGCATTAGAAAGGTCAAAGGATGGCCCAGTAACAAGACAGGACCGTTAGAGGGAGCTGCTACAGAAAGGAGCCCAAGAGGAGCAGTTTCATTGATTTGGGACACCATGGTTAGGGCTATCTTTTCTTCTTTCCTTTTTTAGAAAAAAATAAAGGGAAAGGAAAATAGTAGGAACATGGAGGGGTAGCTCCTAGGTGAAATGAAAGGGCCGTGAATCCTCTTCCGCACCCAAGACGACGACACTGTAGCTAGTAGTGCAGATGTGGCATTAATACACTACAATCATGCCAGTAAACCAGCATTCTGGGATAGCAACGTCACATCTACCGAGCCATCTAGACAAACAATAGAGAGGGTGGTTGGATACCGCCACAGAGCATTCCTCCTTTGGACGGCACCTCATGGAATCCGACAGGCAGCTTCCATAGATAAACCTGTCACCTAAAAGACACCCGAAACATCCCCCAGCAGAATGGAGAAAGATGGGGACCTCCAGACGATTCAGATTCCATGGTAAACTACACCACCACCAGGGACCTCAATGGAATGGGATGTACAATGGTACCCTTCCTCCAACCTAGGAACTAGAATGCTTGAAGAACCCAAAAACTGAAAACAGGAAAGGGAAAGGAGATGGATGGTGACATGAGGAATAATGTGAAAGGAGAGATGGTGAGGATTGGGGGGTAATTAGCTTCGGTCGGAGGAAGAAGACCAAAGGCTCGTCTTCCTCAGACCAACAGCCTCTTCGCCGTTGCAAGGAACTCCCCTTGAAGAGGATCTATCCCACACGATTCTTATGCAGATGCTGGATATTATGTAAATTACTTTACATACTAAATATATATAGACCTGCCAATCGTCTTAGGAATTTTCACACCTCTAGAAAACAGTTTATCTTTCACACAAGATTCTAAGGCAGACGCTGGTCTAACCATCAAGAAAACAAGGAGAAAAAACAGGCCCTAAGTCCTTGGTGAGGAACTACACTTAAGACAATCCATAGCTTTCATGTCCAATTTCTGGTTATGTGCAATTGCCTCAACTACAAATGAATCTAATTTGAACAAACCATCACTGTTATTGTATAATGAATGCAAGTCATGCTTCATAATTGCCAATAAAACAATATTCCAATCATGACAAAAGGAACAAGGGACAATCACTCTGGCTTCCGACCAGTTTGGAACAACTCACCCAGAAACTGCATTCATTTCCTGGGCAGTTGGTATCGAATAGCAGTCTTGTGATATCCTAACATATAGAGCTATGCCAGTCTGTTCCATATAAGTTTCAACCATTGCAACAAATTCTGTGGATACCACTGACACACTATTGAGAATTCTTTATCAGTATGCTTCTAACTGTCTGCAAATTTTTAAAATCTTCTTGTGTATTAAATATTTTTAGGATATTTGGCAAGACAGATAAAATCTCATTGTATAGGAGAACAAAGCCGATTCTTAATCTTGGGTGTTATCCTAGGCTCGCATCTATAATTTTCCTAGCTACCATCATTTCTGTTTCCACGAATTTTTTAGGGTACTGCATTTCAAGGCAATGTCAAATATTTTCCCGATTTCTTCATAGAGGAACTTAGAACTGCACACTCAGTAAGCTCTCAAGAGCATAGAGAGAAAAAATCCTCTTTATTCTTGTCTCATGGCTGGAATAGTAAATAGCAGTGAATGTAGGAGCACACATTGGTGGTTTCCTTTATACAATAAACTTAATATTCTATCAAACTATTGTACAAACACATTAACAATGGAATTTTAGATTCCGCTCTTTCCTATGCCTTAGATTATCATTACTATCAT